AATATAAAAGAAAAATCTTGCAGCAAAATGAGACTAGTGCGGCGGGGTGTAGAGACACAAGACACCAGACAGCCGCTGCTGCTGCAGCTGCTGCTGCTGCTGCTGGTCTGCTGCTGCTGCTGCTGCTGCTGAATTAAAATGTTAAAAGTGAGATTCAAATGAACAAATAAACTCAAATTTCCACAACTTAGTGGACCTACACCCCACCTAGCAGCAACACGCGCAGCCCCCGCTGGTCAGCAGCAGCAGCCTAAACCCTAAACCCTAAACCCTAAACCCTAAACCCTCAGCCCCTAGCCTGCACTCAAACCGTAGCTGCTGCTCTAAACCTTCCGCCCTGGAAACTGAATCTTCAGTCTCACTGCGTTTTAAACGCTAAACCCTAAACCCTAAACCCTAGTCGCTGCGCTCTAAACCCTAAACCCTAAACCCTAAACCCTTGACGATGGCCCCGAATGAACTCGTCTTGAGATGCAGCAGCTGGTTCTGTTGTGCAACTGCAGCAGCAAAATAATAATAATACTTTTCAAATGTTTAAAAACAAATTTAATTCTTATTTATAATCCACTCCAGCAGCAACAACTCTAAACCCTAAACCCTAAACCCTCACGTACGCGCCGCAACCGCCAGCTACATCGAGTCTCCCGCCTCTAGGGTTTAGGGTTTAGGGTTTAGGGTTTAGAGGACAGTCGCGGCCAGCGGCAGTTTTTTTGTTTCTCTAGTTCGACCTATTGCCGTTTGTCGCTCAGCTACAAAACCCCCAAACCCTAAACCCTAAACCCTAAACCCTAAACCCTAAACCCTAGAGACTAGAGACTAAACCTCCCTTTGTTCCGCTGCAGCCAACTCATCGAACTAACAGGAATCCTAGTCAAGTCTAAAACACTAGTGGCAGCTGCAGCTGTTGCTGCCGCTGCAGCAGCAACAGCAGCAGCAGCAGCTGCTGCTGCTGCTGTTGCTGCAGCTGCTGCAGCAGCCGCTGCATTTAGTGCAGCAAGAAGCAATCAGCTGCCGCAGCCGCACAGCAGCCAGAGCAGCCGCAGCGGTGACTGCTGCGCAAGTTTCCGCTGCCGCCACCGCAGCAGCAGCAGCAGCCACAGCAGCAGCAGCAGCAGCAGCAGCAGCACCAGCAGCAGCAGCAGCAGCAGCAGCAGCAGCAGCAGCAGCAGTTTAGGGCTCCCCAGGGATAACCTGGTTGAAGTGGTAAATATCGTTTTGGTCTTTAAACCCCAAAACGGCCCCACAGTCTGCGCAGCAGACTTCACTTGCTGCAATAGGCTCCTCCTCATCTTGCTGCTGCTGCTGCTGCTGCTGCTGCTGCTGCTGCTGCTGCTGCTGCTGTTCCTGCTGCTGCTGCTGCCGCTGAGGGCTGCTGCTGGAGGGGCCTGCAGATGCAGGCGGAGCTGTGAGGCTGTCGGCTATGTGCTGCAGCAGCGGCAAACCAGCATTTATGTTTGCTGCTAGCTGCTGCTGCTGCTGCTGCTGCTGCTGCTGCTGCTGCTGCTGCTGCTGCCCTTGCTGCTGTTGCTGCTCGCCTTGCTGCTGCTGCTGCTGCTGCTGTTGTATTGGCTTAGTGGTTACTCTGAAGGCAGTAACAGCTCTATACAAGTTCCTCATGAATTCGTGCCTGCAAACCGCCACGCAAACCCTAAACCCTAAACCCTAAACCCTAAACCCTAAGCCCTACGCCGCAGGAGGAATAAGGCTACGTGCAGACCCTCGCGAGGCAAAGGCTGCTGCTGTTCCATCGACAGCAGCAGCTGCAGCAGCAGCAGCAACTGTGGCGAGACAGCAGCAGCAGCAGCAGCAAAATTCCCATCATCAAGACCAGCAGCAGCAGCAGCAGCACTATCACGCGCAGCTTGATCACACGACCACACGACCACCCTCACCAACCCAGCAGCAGCAGCAGCAGCAGCAGCAGCAGCAGCAGCAGCAGCAGCAGCAGCAGCAGCAGCAGCAGCAGCAGCAGCAGCAGCAGCAG